ATTGCTAACTCAAATTCCTTATTTGCTTTGCTCGAACACTATGAAGGGAAGCATAACAATACTTGTTAAAATCTTCTTTCTCTTCCATCCACTTTTCTTATTCACTCCCTCTTTTTTCTCTCTGACAAGCTCCTTTTGTAGTCTTAGCCTGCTAGGCATACCTGCTAGGCATACCTCATCGCCCCTTGTATTGATTTTCATCACAAAATCCTATAAGAGGCAGTTTCAGTAAGGTTTTCTCTGTCTGATATGTGTGTGGAATATACAAGTATGTGCGTATTGCTGTTACTAGTTGCCGTTGAATCAATTCCGACTAATGGCGACCCCGTGTGTGCAGAGTAGAACTGCTCCATAGGGCTTTCAATAGCTGTGACCTTTCAGAAGCAGATCACCAGACCTATCTTCTGAGGTGCTTCTGGGTGGGTTTGAACCACCAAACTTTTGGCTAGTAGTCAAGTGCTTAAACGTTCCACTACCCAGGGACCGTGTGTGTGTGTGTGTGTGTGTGTGTGTGTGTGTGTGTGTGTATAAACCAAACTAAACCTGTTGCTGTCGAGTTGATTCTGACTCATAGTGACCCTATAGGATAGAGTAGAACTACCCCATAAGGTTTCTGAGGAACAGCTGGTGGATTCAAACTGCCAGCCTTTTGTTTAGCAGCCAAGCTCTTAAATACTGCACCACCAGGGCTGCTGGTATATACCTATATCTATATCTGGCGCCCTGGTGGTGCAGTGGTTAAGAACTTGGCTGCTAACCAAAAGGTGGGCTTTTTGAATCCACCAGTCACTCCTTGGAAACCCTATGAGACAGTTCTACTTTGTCCTATAGGGTTGCTATGAGTCAGAACAGACTTGATGGCACATAACAACATATCTGTATCTGTATCTATATCTGTATATACACGCACACACACACACATATATACATATACACAAGTATATAATACACATATATGTATATGAATAAGGAGGACCAAAGAAGAATTGATGCCTTTGAATTATGGTGCTGGCAAAGAATATTGAATATACCAGGGACTGCCAGAAGAACAAACAAATCTGTCTTGGAAGAAATACAGCCAGAATGATCCTTGGAAGTGAGGATAATGAGACTTTGTCTCACGTACTTTGGACATGTTATCAGGAGGGACCAGTCCCTGGAGAAGGACGTCATGCTTGGTAAAGTAGAGGATCAGTGAAAAAAGGAAGACCCTCAGTGAGTTGGATTGACACAGTGGCTACAACAATGGGCTCAAGCATAGCAACGATTGCGAGGATGGTGCAGGACTAGGCAGTGTTTCATTTTGTTTAATAGGGTCATTATGAGTCAGAACCGACTCAATGGCACCTAACAACAACAACAACAACATGTATATATGTATGTATGTGTGTATGTCTTAGCCTGGGTTCTTGAGAGAAGCAGAAACAGTGAAGTGTGTATATATATATATATATATATATATACATATATATACATATATATGTATATATATGCATTTGTATATAAGTTTATCTCAATGAAATGGCTCACGCGGTTACAGAGATTGGTAAGTCCCAAGTCGGTGGGTCAGACGTCAGGCTGGAGGCTTCTCCTGACTCACGTAGCTGCAGGGGCTAATGAACCCAAGATCGGCAGGTCAGACAGCAGACCACTGGCTCACAGGCTGTGGAGGCTGATGAATTCAAGATTGGCAGGTAGGACAGCAGGCTGCTGGCTCACAGGCTGTGGTGACCGACGAATGCCAAGATTGGCAGGCAGTATAGCAGGCCACTGGGTCAGCTCCTAAGAACTGGAGATCAGATGATGACGAGCTAGACCTAGGATCCAGAGCAAGCCACCGAGTTTTGCTGGAATGTCCACATATATATATAGAATTCAGGCTACACTCCTGAGGAAACTCCCCTTACAACTGATTGGCTGATTATATCAGATCACATCATGGAGGATGACTACATTATTACATAACTGCCAAACCACTGAGAATCATGGCCCAGCCAAGTTGACACACAACCTTACCCATCACAGTCCAACCCTTGTCAACTTGGCACCTGTACACATCTCCTTAAACCATACACAATCTCCAAATAAAGACATACTCATTTACAAAGTCATACTTGGACCTAACATGATACAACTAACGTGTACATATATGTATGTGTACATATGTGTATATGTATGTATGCATGCTTATATGTAAGTGCATATATGTTTATATATGTGTAGATATGAGTAGAGGCATACCCTGGAGATATTTGGGTTCAGTTCTAGACCACCATAGCAAAGTAAGTATCACAATAAAGTGAGTCACATGAATTTTTTTGTTTCCCAGTGCATATAAAAGTTATGTTTACACTATACTGCAGGATGTCAGAGAAACTCTGAAATTTGTCTTGAACACAGAGTAGCTAAAACAAATGAAAGAAATGATGAAGTAAAAGAGCTGAACAAAGGGTGACTTGAGAAGACAAAGTATTATAACGACATGTGCAAAGACCTGGAGTTAGAAAACCAAAAGGGAAGAACACACTCAGCACTTCTCAAGCTGAAAGAACTGAAGAAAAAATTCAAGCCTCGAGT